GTGCACACCCAAGTAAGTTACAACATCAGACGATAGGTTAAGCAATTTTAATTAAAGAGGGTGTATTGGGGTGTAATTAAAGAGGGATTTGGCATCTGGCATCTGGACAGTGGTAAAGTTGATGGTCATTTGATTTTCTCTTTTGGAGGCAGCAATTGCTAGGTTGATTTGTTATGTCTTTCTTGAGACATGTGGATAGCCAAACAACAGACTGGCTCCCAGTTTTGCATTGGAGAAAAAGAGAGAGAACCCACTCAGGATCTTGCTTCATCAGCATTTCATCTCCTTGTGCACTGGTCAACAAAGAAAACGAATGCTTAAACACACAAAGGTTTTACTGTCACATGATCCTCTCCACATGTTTGTTGATCCCATATCGTCATAGTTACTGGATTCCAATTGCCTAGCTTACATGTTTACATTATGTCCAGGCACATTGCTTTCACAGCTGGTCTCCATTTGTCCAAGTGATTAATTCTAATAGTTTGTCCTCACTAAGTTGAGTATCCAAATGATTGTCAGAGTGATTTGCTAATAGAACAGGAGAAGTACCCCATATCAAGCTAAAACCTCCTGGCAGGTATTTGTAGAAGTTTGACTCCATTTCGCAGCTTTTGGGATGTAGGAGGTAAGGTAGTCCAAAAGTTCATTCATCTTTGAGAATGTGATTTCAAGAGTGGTTCAGTCTTTTTAAAATCCAGGCAATAAATTCATAAAGTTATTTTTTTGTTTTGAAAAGCATGGTTTCATATTGAATATTGATGCGCAGTGATTCACCAGATTCTATACATAAAAATAGCCTGGTTACTCAAGCTAGTCTGCTTCCTTATTGGTTCAACGCTTACCACACCCGTAATTCTGATACTGATAACTGTCACAGTCTCTGCTGAATGTGCAACAAATATTGCTGTAAATTCAAAATGTTACATTAATAGTCAAAAGCAGGAAAATAAAACAAGCAACATAAAAGACAGAACTATTTTTCATTAAATTGCCATCTGGCAAAACAAGGGAACTTTGACAAGAACTTGGTTTATGTTCCACAGTAGCCTCAAGCAAGAAAAGACTCAAAATGAATCTGGAGTGGGGCGTAAGAAATAAACAACAATTCCTTCCTAGAAATCCCTAGCCTAATTTTGAAATTTTATTGATCGAGGGGTGGAAGAAAAAAAATTTAAATATCTTAGGCTAAACGTCATATTTTCTTAATGTCTAAAGTGTCAAGGATTCTAGAAATCAGGCATCAATCTTTGCATAATCTTCGTAACCCATTCCAAATTAGAGTTGGTCAATCACAGGAGTTTGAATGATATGCAAATAGTACACGCAGCTGTTTGTCAGGGCTCACGTATCTTGACTTTCGTGATTCAAACCTCTTAATCCAGTCATGTGTTATTACATTAACCAAAAAAAATTAAATAAGCCAAATTAATGTTGATTATTTTCCAAATTATCAATGGTAAATTTGATAATTACATTTTTAGGCCAATTTAGTAACAACCTTCTTGATTTGTTCTCACCTGTGCAATGCTGCTCCTCCCACATTTGTTCAGGGCAATTTTCCTGGTTTTCCAATGCCTGAACAATTACAGCTCTGGAACGGGTTTGGCGACCAGTTGTTTCAAATCTCTTTCCATCCAGACAGATCAGCTGGCATGAACTCCACGTAGACCACTCAGTTAGGTGACAGTCACCTGGTATTTACAATTGAAATATTACATGACAGTAATGCTCACATCTAAACGATATAATGGTTGTGCATGCATTGGATGAGCAAATTCTAAACTTGCAGCAATATTAATTGCATATAGTGTTATGGTGATGGATCATGACTTCAGATCACTTATTGAACATTTAATGACAAAAAAAAAGACATACGGCCTCAAAATGACTGTAGATATACTTTCAGTGGCTGTCTGGAGATCAAGGTCCAAGAACGTCACACCTACTGAGATGTTAAAGAGGTTTGAAAGGATGGATTTAAAAGGGAAGAAATGTACCACAAACTGTAATCTGCTGGGAGTTACTTCAGACTGTGAACATAATGGGATAAAAGTCAGTAGTTTTGATTAAACACGTGTTTTCTGCCTTTTCCTTTCAAGAATACACAAGGACAAGTGTGTGTTAGCGGAAGGAAGCCTGCTTGTGAGCTGAGGAGCTCATGTTAATAGCCTGGGTTCAAGCACTAGCGTGCTGCAAAGGTAATAGACAAAGAACGCACTAGATACCCCTACAATACAGGTAAAGTAATGTATACTTGAGTCTGTATACTACAGTCAATTAATCAGTCAAAAGAAAACAGGACAAATGAAGAACTCTGACTCTGAGTGCTACCTGTCAGCCACTGTCAAAAGGAAACGAACAAAAGGATTTCAACTAGCCTGCAATGCTGATGGATCTGAAATTGACTGTTCAGTTATCAATGTTCCAATATCTAATCTTCAGAAATTACCCATTAACTTCCATCAGTTTTTGGATTCATTTCTCTTTTCCAATCCGTGTGCATGTGTTACATTAATATTTCTTCTCTCATTTAGTAACTGATAAACTTACTATTTTGTTATCTCAAGAAACCCTGGTTAAATTGTTACCTATTAAAAAAATAAATTCCCCAGGGTGTTGCCTGGGCTGAAAAGTCTCAGTCATGATGAGAGACTGGATAGGCTGGTTTATTTTCCTTAGAGCTGAGGAGGCTGAGGGAGGATCTGAATGAGGTGTACAAAATTACAAGAGGCATAAATTGGAGAATCTTGTCCTCATGGCAGATGTGTCTTAAATCAAAGGCATAAGTTTAAGGTGAGGAGCAAGTGGTCTAGAGGAGATCTGATAATTTTTTTTCACCCAGAGGGCAGATATATGGAACATATTGCCTGAGAGGTTGGTGGAGGCTCCCACAATATTTAAAAAGCAGGTGGATAAGTACTTAAAATGTCAGGGCATAGGAGACAATGGACTAAGTGCAGGTAATTGGGGTTAGTTTAGTTTGCATAGTGTAGTTGGCATAGACATGGTGGGCTAAACGGCTTGTTTCTATCCTGTATACTCTATGGCTCTCTAAGACTCTTTTAATTCGTATGATCTGGGAAGTAGGTATCCACAGGGAAGAGATGCTTTATGAATTAATCTTGTTATGACCAACCAAAGCAGCTGACAAAGAAAGAAGGAAAGACAGTTAATCTCTTATCTGCCAGGAGCTTGACAATTTACAATATCCCAGCTGAAACTGTAATAATTTGAGGAACCTCGTCTGGCCACAACAATAGCAAATATAAACCCAATCACAGAACCACCTCTAACAGAGGAGCAAAGTTGCATGAGAATTTCAGTGCTGGAGCAATGCCAGGAATACACCATGTGTCAGGGATTAAATGATCAAATCAAACAGTATGTTCCTTTGATCGTTGATAATTGGCAGAATACAGACTGTACTCAACCATCCTGTGTTTGCAAAACCCAAAACATAATGTCTAAATGTGATTCTCTGATAGGATTGTTCAGAAAATACTGTCCTGACTTTGCTAAGAGCTACGCTATCAACCAACTTAAGGTAAGTGTTAGAGCTGCTAATGTAGCTCATTTATCAGTGCTGAAACTGTCAATCATTCATATGTAGGTATCTGTTCCCAGCAAACAAAGGAATATGTTCAAGCTTTCCATTTTTTTTTTTAACTACCCAGGAACTTGGAGATCAATTGTTTCTCTTTGCCTTCTCCATTGCAGCACTTCAGCCAATTAGACTTATTACTAGAAGGCTATAAATGGAAGGCAATAAGAAATTTTGACTTGAGGCCAAAGGTTTTCAGGCATTTATCTTTACTGCTGCAGAACTGCCAAAATTCAGTGAGCCATCTAAAGATCATTTGCAAGATACCTTACTCTTTAGCATAAATGAAGGTTTCCTCTAAATATTTAGGGGGAAATAGGGCAATCAACAGAAGGCACTGTTTGGATTTTTGACATGTGAGGAATTCCAGGAGAGGACAATCATCCACCCACTTCCACATTGCCCTCAAAGAATCCGTCCACAAGAGTTCTCTGGAATTTATACAAGAGCAATACATAGGAGGACTTCAATCCCCCAGGAAGATTGTTGATTTTGACATACTGCAGGTGCACCTCAGCTAAGCTCCAGGCATGGTGCGTACTGCACTAGGAGAGAATATTTAATTCACCCAAGTCAGTCAGCATTCTATTCGGTATTTTCCAGGTGAGTATTGTCTTGCTCCAAAGAACCAATATTTATGTCATGTCCGCAGGTTACTTCATAATTGCAGGGCTTCCCATTTACAACAATACAAAGGTTAAAAAAAATAAAAGTGCTGGTCACACTAAACCTCCAGTTTGAAGTGCACAAGACCGGTGTGCATCATTGACAAGTTTTTTTAGTTTTCTCCTTCCAGCTCATCACACGCCTATTTTTTGTTCCTCAGCTAAATGGCAGTGTCAGATTTCCATACAAAACTAAGTTTTTCCCACTTCATGATCCTCTCAGCAGCCGAAATTGGGTTAATAAATGCTCCTAGGACAGCATTGGATAGGTTCCTGAACAACGAGGAGTTGATGTTTATTGTGGATAGGTGGTCAAGTGGAGGGGAGGACACATTCAGACCAGGCATGATCTTATCAAATAGCGGAGCAGGCTACAGGAGCTGGATGGTCTACTTCTCCACGTAATTTGTATGTTTAACAGGAGTTGCCATTTCACTGCTGTGAAGAATTACAAGGATTGAAGGGATGTCTCCTAGTAGCAATTTAGCTCACGGCACCTCTGTAGTGTCTTAAACGGAGCCAGGAAATATAACCAATAATACAAATGGCATGCTTTCAAGTGCATCAGGAGATGAGAGGTTAGAGTATCCTTGTGTATATTTAATACTGAGATAGATAGATTCTTGATCAATCACTGAAATGAAAGGTTATAGGGAAAGAGCAGGACAGTGGACGTGAGGAGTATCTGGGTTAGACATGATCCTATTGATTGGCGGAGTAGGTTCGAGGGGCCGAACAGCCTACCCCTGCTCCTATTTCTTATGGTCTTAAAGTGAGTTCCTCTATGAGAAGCTGAAGAAAATATGAAAACATGTAGAGATCAGATGTAAATGTCTGCTAATACATGGGATACCTGTCTTTTTATCCTTGGTTATCTTGCATACCCTGTTAAGACCATTAATTTCTTCCAGCAATGGAGCAGTAATCTTTTCACTGTTGTGTGGGTACTGACGTAGCCGGTTGTCATCCACATCTTACCACCTTAACCACCTTATGGCCATGGCTCAGGAGCTGAATCTCCTCCTGTCCTCCGTGTTTCTGAACAATATTTTTAAAAAGAACATGACAAGAAAATTGGAGACAACAAGGTGCAGGGCTGGATGAACACAGCAGGCCAAGCAGCATCATAGGAGCAGAGAGGCTGATGTTTCGGGCCTAGACCCTTCATCAGAAAAAGCACCAAACCATCATCTCCCAAACCATCCACAACCTCATCACCTCAGGTGACCTCCCACCCATGGCCTCCAACCTCATCGTTCCCCAACCTCGCACTGCCCGCTTCTATCTCCTTCCCAAAATCCACAAACCTGAATGCCCTGGTCGACCCATTGTCTCCGCCTGCTCCTGCCCCACCGAACTGATCTCCAACTATCTGGACTCCATTTTCTCCCCCTTGGTCCAGGAACTCCCTACCTATGTCCGTGACACCACCCACGCCCTCCACCTCCTCCAGAACTTCCAATTCCCCGGTCCCCAACACCTCATCTTTACCATGGATGTCTAGTCCCTCTACACCTGCATTCCCCATGCAGATGGCCTTAAGGCCCTCTGCTTCTTCCTGTCCCGCAGGCCCGACCAGTCCCCCTCCACTGACACCCTCATCCGCTTAGCTGAACTCGTCCTCACCCTCAACAACTTCTCTTTCAATTCCTCCCACTTCCTACAGACAAAGGGGGTAGCCATGGGTACCCGCATGGGCCCAAGCTACGCCTGCCTCTTTGTAGGTTACATGGAACAATCCCTCTTCCGTACCTACACCGGCCCTAAACCCCACCTCTTCCTCCGTTACATTGATGACTGTATCGACGCCGCCTCGTGCTCCCACGAGGAGCTCGAACAGTTCATCCACTTCACTAACACCTTCCACCCCAACCTTAAGTTTACCTGGACCATCTCTAACACCTCTCTCCCCTTCCTGGACCTCTCTGTCTCCATATCGGGCAACCACCTAGAAACCGATATTCATTTCAAGCCCACCGACTCCCACAGCTACCTAGAATACTCCTCCTCCCACCCACCTTCCTGAAAAAATGCTATCCCCTATTCCCAATTCCTTCGCCTCCGCCGCATCTGCTCCCAGGATGAGGCATTCCACTCCCGTACATCTCAGATGTCCTCGTTTTTCAAGGACCGTAACTTCACCCCCTCAGTGGTCGAGAACGCCCTCAACCGTGTCTCCCACATCTCCCGCAACTCATCCCTCACACCCCGTCCACGCAATAAGAACCAAAAAAGAATCCCGCTCGTCCTCACGTACCACCCCACCAACCTCCGGATCCAACACATCATCCTCCGACACTTCCGCCATCTGCAATCCGACCCCACCACCAAAGACATCTTTCCCTCCCCACCCTTATCTGCTTTCCGGAGGGACCACTCTCTCCGTGACTCCCTTGTCTGCTCCACACTCCCCTCCAGCTCCACC